AGATCCAACATTAGAGAGGTTTACATGTAAAAGCATCACGTAATTTTCCCGAAAACGGCAAAAATCCCACTTTTGCCGTCTGCCGCGTCTAGGTCAAAATGAGTAGTTCATTGCGGGTTTATCGTGAACGTGTGAATTATTTTTCTGATGATTTGACAACTGGAAGAAAACGTGTGAAGAAAATCGATTGCAAGCTGACGTTTGCGTTTGCCGTAGAACGTGATGCATAATCGTTCTATTGAATGGGAACACGGGGAATTTTCCATAGCATTTTGTCTAAGAAATGGTCAACGACAAAAAGAACACAAACTTCCGATAGATGAGTCGATTATTACCTTCTTGTTTTCCTTGCTGTGGTTTGCTATGTTGATCTGTAAATCCCTTGACTTCACTCATGATAGCGAAGGGATTTATAATAATATGGAATCCTTTGCTTTTATTGCTTTTTTACCCCGTGGAGATTTTCATAAAGTCACAGATTAACGAAGGGTTATTATGTTGCAAATGAACAACTTGTTCCGTTGTTAAACATATAATAAACTAGGAGCCAAAATGTATCATTTTGCCATCTTTTTTAATAAGCTATTCTTACATGTATTTGGTAACATATGTATATATATGTACAAAAATCGATTATGCTATTTTATAAGACAGAGAAAACTGTGATGAAAAACGTAAGGAGAAATTAAAAGTATATTTTGATTGACTAGAAGGATGTCAGTCTTGCAGCGAAGTTTATTTGATGCTCCACCTCATATTTGTCATGTTATGCACTAAATTGACCTACAAGAACCCAATGGGACTTGAATTAAAGTAAACATAATTGATTTTCAACTCAGCGGAAAACATCTGTTAAAACAAAACAACTAGAAATAAAAAGACAATATATCGCGAAAACATAAATTAATTATCCTTTTCTATACCATATTTATTTCCAATGCAAGGAAAGTTTGCCGTCATGTGCTGCTTAATATCACAAAACGTTTTATTCCATTACAAGCTAGCCAGAGCCGGCAATATTTTCCGGCCGTGCAGGGACAGTTCATCAAATATTTTGCTGTTACTTCGATCCTCATCGTGTGTCCTCCCTTTGCACGTCAACTGGCCTTTGTTTCTTCGAAAACAAACTCTCACAATGACATGAAAACTGAATCACTAAAGTTATGTTCTCTCTGAGTGGGGAGTGATCGCCCGAGGGGGATTCTCTATTTAGCACCGACATGACGGAGATGTTCGTTGTATATTTTCACTAGTCCGGGATTGAAAGTTAAGGTGTTTTAAGGTGTTCCCCTAGTAAATAGTAAATTTTATGCTGGACCATGTTACAAATAACAATAAGTCTTGTTTGACATTTTTTGAAACAAAAGGCACATTGTATTCTAGCAATATTTCAACACTTTTGGACAGAAATAGCATAATTTGAAAAAATGAGCATAATTGTAGCATGATTTGGATAAAAAAACGAGCACTGCTAGGAATTGAATGGGAACGCGGGGAATTTTCCATAGCATTTTGTCTATAGTATGTAACAAGTACCACAAAAATGGTCAACGACAAAATCCGATAGATTCTTACCTTCTTGTTTTCCTTGCGGTGGTTTGCTATGTTGATCTGTAAATCGCTTGGCTTCACTCATGATAGCGAAGGACTTTTTATAAAATTCCAGTTTTACGAACACAATTCCACTTTTACGAGCCCGGCATGAAAAAAATCCGGATTGGAATCGTTTTTCTTGGAAATCGCTAACCCTAGAGTTAAGACGAGGCTAGGGTTAGATATCTCGTAACTGGGAGTTGCCTGTGTCGTATGGCGCATGTTTGACGGTTCGTCGAAAAGCTTCACAGTCAGTAGGAAATTCGCACGGACTGAAAGTTGATTCGCCTGGCATCAGTATCACACAAAACACGGGAGTTATTCCTCGTTCTTGCCGGCATCGACTGACAAATACAGACCGGGCAAATAGTTATTCCCAAGGAAATTTCCTCCGAGTTACGAGAACTCTAACCCTAGCCTCGTCTTAGCCCCGGCTAGGGTTAGATTAAAAAACGATTCCAATCCGTGAATGAAAAATATGATCAAATTATACCACGTGGAACAAAACGGTCTTTCTTTTACTGACAACGCTCCTCGTAACTTATCCTATCCTAACCTATCCTTATCTTACCCTTGTTTCCACAAATGGCGCAACTTCTTGATCCGCATACACTAAATGCCTGTTCAAACCACAATCATCTTTCTGCTTCGATGAAGGGGTTATGCTTGAACGGCTATATAATGCCGGTATATCAGTTTTATTACAATTCATCTCAACAGTTGCGAGATTTTAAGGTTAGGATATGTGCAATAATTATCAGGAGGGGGGGTTGGAAAATGGGATTCATGTAGGAAAATATTAGGTAATACCCCCCTCCTAAGGGAGTGAATTTAATTATTGCCCCCCCCCCCCCCTCCCCCCCACACACACACACACACGCACACACACACACACACACACACACACACCTTCATACAAGTATCCTGCATTTTCTCTACACGCACCTGTGGATTTAAATCTTATAATGGCAGCAAGAAAAGCTCCTACTACATGTTAATTGTTGGACATCCGCGTCTGGAACAAACATAACCTCCGTGGCAATGTTCAACAGAGCCAGGGGGGGGGGGGGGGGGAGGGAGGGGATAGAAAGCCGGCACTTTTCTTTGAGGACATTGCGGTGCCCGGCAACAGACCAACAGTGCGAATCCTGTGCGGCCTGATCTTTCACGCCGCCAACTCGGCAGCGTGAAACAACAAGCGAAAAATCCGTCTGAGCTGCATTTACATGCTACAGCGAGAGGATCGAGCGAGAGTCAGTAGTGCTACTACTGGAACGGGAAGTGAAGTCGGATGGAAATTTTTATCGTCATTCATGAGGCGAAGCGAAATCAGACAACAACGAAAAAAACACGTCTTCGTTTTCGAGCGTCCGTAATTATGCAAACAATTTATAAGGAACAGAACAGAGGCATGGGAAAGTAAGAAAGAAAAGAGCATGTGTTTTTTCAGGTCCGGTCCCCCCCTCCCCCCCTGGTAATTATTGCACAGTCCACCTTCAAGGGACGATTTTTTGCAAAATTTGTTTTTCAAGCCAAATTAAAAACTACTATTTTATCTGCATTTTCCAAAAAATAATAATTTGAAAAACTTGAAATGCGCACGAGTTATCGACAAAAACGTGTTTTCAAATAAAAGTAAAAAATCCGCTAAAATGTTATAAGGAATTGGAACGGTGTCAACCACAGAGCCCCCCGTGACGTTTGTTTGGCGGCGATCTCACCCCGCGCCTCGTATTTCACGTCGCTTTGATTCTTGTGTTTATACTTGTGTCTTGTAATTTACGACACCAAATTCTATGCTTCCGTACGCCGTTTATGGAGAATAATAATAATAATAATAATTAATTTTTTTTCTGCGCGTTTAAAAATCTCAACGCGCTTACAAATATGCAATCGTAACTGAACTCACTAACTAACTAACTAACTAACTAACTAATTAATTAATCAACTAAGGGTAAAAATGATTACTAAAAAGAAATGTTTTCAGTTTCTTTTTATAATGGTTATTGTCTCAGATTGTAAAAAATAAATAAAATCATTTTAAAAATTATTGTTTAAAAACTGTCCTAAATAAAAATGTTTTAAGAGCAGTTTTAAAAGTAGGCAGAGAAGCAGCATTTTTTAAAGTATTCGGAAGAGGGTTCCATAGTGCAGGTGCAGAGTTGGAGAAAGCACGTTGACCGTATGTCACAGAGTTCACAGTTGGGGTGTTAAGAAGTGAGTGGAAGGAAGAGCGAAGATTACGTGATGGGCGATATTCTTGTAGGAGCGTTGATAAATAGGCCGGGGATAGTCCATGGAGAGTCTTGAAAGTGATAAGTAGAACTTTGTAGATAATGCGTGATTCGACAGGAAGCCAGTGTAAATCTCGAAGGATAGGCGTGATATGTTCGTGTTGTTTAGTCCCAGTGATTAAACGTGCCGCAGTGTTTTGAACTCTTTGAAGTTTTTACAATTCCTGCTTGGGCAGACCATAGAGGATGCTGTTGCAGTAGTCTACTCGTGATGTGAAGAAAAAATTATGTATGGTAGGTGTTTTGGTGAAACGTGATGTAAACAAGATAACCTCCGTCTTTTCCGCATTACTCAATAACATGTTCTGGGTGTTCCAACGCATCACATCTTCAACACAGTTACGAAGAGTGGTCAGCCCTGAGGACTGATTAGTGGGATTAATAGCCATATATAGTTGCGTATCATCCGCGTAGAACAAACAGGTCAAGTTATGACAGGAAATTATATCTTGAAGGGGGGCTATATACAGTGAAAAAGAGAGGAAAGGGCTGTTATCAAGGAAAGCTTACCCGCGTGCATTTATAGCCGCAAACAACGTTTGATTTGGATGAATTCCAGTTTCGTCGCCACTTTCCCCAGCCTTTTTCTTCCTTTGTTCCTCCCGTGCATTCCGCTGCGGTTGTTTTCTTTTCCACTGATTCGGTTTCGCCAATGAATTTTTTGCGCCAGACTTCGCTTTCTCAATATTCTGCTGTCGTTAAGCATGGAAATGTCGTTCCCCGCGAATTTCAATAGACTGCCTTGTCACGAGGCTGTCTGGGGGGTTCCTATGTTGTGTTCTATTGGTCGGCAGCATGAGCGCATTTACACCCGCTTTGATTAAGTGCATGTGAAAACTACAACAATCTTTTCAACCCGAAAACTCCGGATTTGTTTTTTTGTGAATTCCCTCTCTTCAAATGAATTAACATACTCTCTTGATTAACAGGGTATGTAGATTTGTTGGATTTTAATCAAATTTGGCCAAAATGTTTGTTAGACATTAAACAGGAGCAAGTTTTCCTTGACAAGTTTTCACTTGACAATTTTTCTTTGCTCGTGTGGGAAGATAAATTTGGCAATTTTTCCTTGACAAGTGTCCTTGTTAAAAAACTGGCGTGCCAAATTCCGATTTCCCCCAACAGGAGTCGAACCTATGACCTTCCGCACACCGGTCGGACGCTCCACCACTGAGCTACAGGAGACTCGTGGGAGCTAAGGCCATGTAATTAGGTTCAAGTGTGACAAACACCCCGCATACTGCTAGGATTAGATTTGTCGATGATTGAGAATTTGTGGAAAGAAATGATGGTATATTTTAAGCTTGGCAGAACTAATATGAGAAAGATATTAGTGTTGTTACAGAGAAAAATTGTCAAAGAAATATTGTTTATCGTTCACACGAGCAAATACAATTTGTCAAGGAAAAAATTGTCAAATTAAATTTGTTGTTTATACACACGAGCAAATAAAAACTGTCAATCTCCCCTGTCAAGAAAAACTTGCTCGTGTGGAAGGGGCTTAATGCACCAAAGTGTGTGAGGCTTTTACGAAATTCGGAATATTTTTCTCGTGGCGTCCCAGCGCGTGACACTCATCAAAAAATATATATTGTCTAACTTTAAAGGAGAACTGAAGTCAAAAATTAAGTATTTTTTTCTTGAAGCGTAGGTCATGAACATTGATGGTTTAAAGTTATTTTTTGTGTATTGGATTATTTTCCCTCTCAAAAAAAATATATATTTGGTACGAATTGGTCATTGGCATTGCGGCTCGGAACGGGAGTGTCAGCGGTCATTTTTGGAGGTTATTACGTATGATATGGGGTAGCCTGCGAACAAGCTCTCTTGGGGTTTTGGGAGAGAAGGAGAAAGAGAGCTTGCACTGATGTCTCAGAATTTTGAATGCCGCCCCTCAAAAGCCCCCACCGTTTCCAGCTGTTCGTCTCAATTTTCTACGTAACGCAATGCTTTGTATTCGACCTCACACGCTCGAAAGCCGTTTCTCGGAAAGTACTAAACGGATCGAATCGAAAAAACATCTCCATCGAAAGGGGTTTCAAAGCGCAGGACAGCTAGAATATTTGTTCCCCGTTTGTTAGAAATGTCGCTCTGAAATTTCTGTTGCAAGATTTTGCATATTTAATTACAAAAGCCAGTGTGTAGTATTTCCCAGAGCTGGCATGTCTGCTACGAAAAATGCTGTTTCTCCGGAACTACCGTACCATTTGACTCGAGAGAGAGGTCTCTTTGGAAAGCATTTTCAAAGCGCTGAACAGAAAAAAAAATTTAGTACGTGCCACTTAGAAGTTTACTTCCAAAAATACCTGAACTAATTTTTCGGAATGAGTGATAAACACTAAAAGCGTCATGTTTCCTCGGAAGACGTCATCAATTAATTAATTTCCACCAATCAGCATTTCGCGTCGATTTTTTGAGCGCAGATATTCAAAACTCTGAGACATCCTGGCAAGCTCTCTTTCCTCTCCCGCTACCCATCCCCCACCCCCCAAAAAACTCCAAGAGAGCTTGCTCGCAGGCTAGATATGGGGAAGCGCTTATAGAGTCAGTAGGTGATCCCTGTGCTTGATATTCTTCGTTTAGGGCGAAAGATGCACAAAAATACCATTTCAGAATCTTCGAAACAGTAGAACTTCAAGAGTTTTGTGCTGGAATCTTCCATTTCAGGGTGGAAACTGGCGGAATGCGTAAGTTGGGAAATCGTCAACGATGGCCTTTATACAGCATGCTCGCTGGCGGTCCTGTGTTTATTTTTGTCTTCTCCGTAAAAAATAAAATATTAAATTAAGATATTCAGCGTCTTAAATAACATAGACACCATCTTAAGCTAAGACTAAATTCATCTCATTTTAAGATAATAACCCCTTAAGTAAGACAACGGCATCTTAGCTTAAGACGAGCACCCTCTTAGTTCTTTATAAGATGCAAATCCGTCTTAATTTAAGATTTGAAATGTGTCTTAAAATAAGACGTATTGATTTTATAGTAAGACGCTTCCCTCTTATATAAGATAAAATCTTCTTACTTTAAGATTGCTGAGTATTAACTTTCTTATTTTTAGATGAGGAGCATCTTAAATTGAGTTGATATCTCATCTTAAATAAATTTTAAGATGATTTTGAAATTGATAAGATACGTCCATCTTAACTAAGTTGCACTGCATCTTAATTAGGTATTGAGCATCTTATGTTTGATTAACTGCCACTCACAAGGAGGATCCCTCGGGAAATAGACCTATTTTTTTTGATTGGCTAATTTGGTTATATATGACCTGTTCTTTGATTGGTTAATTCCAATTCAAAATTTATTTGTACCCAACACCCGGACAAACGTTCTTCATTTTCAGTTCGAGAGTTTCAGGCCGTTTATGCACGCTCCTCTGAGTGTTTTAAAGACAATTCTGACAAGAATCTCATTCTGTTTGCAAATGTTTGAGTGATATGCATTATAAAATATATAATCTTCAAAGTTAAAGGAGTTTGGGCTGCTAGAAAACGTCTGGAGTTGAAATACCGCATGAAGCTGAACTGAAGCAGATGGATTAAACACAACACAAGCCCGAGTGGATGAAATAGCTAATACGTATGTTTTCTTTTTATCTTTGTCTCTGTGTATAATATTTTTCTTTGGATTTAGTAGCATAACAAAGTGTTTATCCAGATAGTTGTAATGTTTGCCGAGAGTGGTACAAGTCAGGTACACGTCGTTCTACTTTCGAATACGCCATTTTGCTAGTAACAAATGACCGTTATTTTTCAAATACCCCGTCAAACCCAACTAAGATGTTTAACACCTTAAATTAAGTTGTCAAACGTCTTAAATTCGAAGTTCTACATGTCCACCTTAATTTAAGATGTTCAAATCTTAATTTAAGATGTAAGAAACTTACATTAAGATAAAAGAGTCGTCTTACCTCAGAACCAGAAAAAAACGTCTTAATTTAAGATTTTTAGTTTGCAGTGTAATTACACTGCATGTAAGCTAAAACTTGTACTGGAATCCAGTCATCTTTAGAAGAATAGTGTGTTTTTGTGAATATTATAACCTCAAAAGTTACAATGTAATGCAATTTTGTAGTTGTTGGCGATCAATTGCGAGCAAATTCAGCAACACGCCATGGTGGAATCAAATGTCTCGCGTATGGCTAAGCTTATAACTTCTTTTTTTTTTTCAATAAACTTTTTAGATTTTTCCGCATCACGGGCTTTGTATAAATAAAGCTATGTGCGTTGTATCTTGTTGTTTACACCTATTTCAATTAACGTTGTCGGATATAATTGTTTTTTAAAAGCCCGCAAAGCCCGCAAGACAAGACCGAAAGGTAGCATGGTTAAAAGTAGAAAACTGCTGCACGCACCGAATACTAATGAGAAGTAGCATGAAAAACATTATTTCTAACGTTTCCTTTTTGTTTTAAACCTGTTGTAAGCTACTTTTAGCCAAACTTAATTTCAGCAGAACCAGCTAGTGAAAAAAATTCTCGAATTCGGGGAAACCAAATACATCACGTCCGAAAATAATTTATTTTCAACGGATATGGAAATTACAATGAATACCCAGACTACCAATCGGTCTTGTCTTGTAGGCTTTACGCTTTCTATCCGACAACGTTAATTGAAATAGGTGTATATACCTTATACATGCCTCAAGAGTGAGAGCGAGAGAGAGCTTCAACAGCTTACTGTTTTTCACGATCGTTTCGTTTATACTTTTAAATTTTTTTAAACCAGTTTGATTTTTATTATTCATTTCCATAATCTGAGACAATGGAAAATAAAAATCAAACTGGTTAAAAAAAATTTAAACCAAAAATAAATTTAAACTACAACATTTATATGGCTTTCGGATGCTCCAATGTATACTAACGATTCTAGATATACCGAAGAAGGAGCAACATTTGTAGTGCTACTAGCTACAAACCAACACAATATTACTTTTTACACGATTTGTGCAAATTATATCCTTGTGGCTAATTTTATTTTCTCAAAAAAAAAAAAATAATAATAGTAAAAAAAAAATAACATAAAATAAAACAAGGCTCTACAACAAATTTATATAAAACCTCTATGCCATTTGTCTGACAAAATGTAAAAGCCAAAGCAGTGCAATTTATATTATGGGTAGATGGTAACTATCTTGGTTTGCAGTATACTGACTGCTAGGAGGGGGGGGGGGGGGCGTAACTTTTTTGGGGTATAGGGGTGCCGCTGAGGGTCTGAAACCCTTACCCTGTTTAGGACAAAAAAAAAACCTAAAATACCTACCCTACCGAAATACACACTCTCTTGTTTTGCACATTTTAAAGTGCTTTATTGGTAATTGCAATTTGGCGAATCACATTTGACTGATACCCTATAAAGACCGGCAAACATCGGATAGCTAAATACTGTATAAACCATATTTAATGACGTCAATCGTGCAACCATGTCCCGTTTAGGACAGGTTCAGACGGAGAGCCTGTTTAGGACAGACTTGCAAAAAATTATATACCCTCCTGTTCAGGGAAGAGAGGCCAAAACCATACCCTGTCCAGGGGCACGTCCCGGTATAGGCCACATAAGAAACATGATGTGGAGCAGTGATAGAGTCAGTCCCGGTGGGTACTCCCTTATGTGGCCTATACAGGGACGTGACCCTGGACATGGTATGGTTTTGGCCTCTCTTCCCTGAACAGGGTATATAAGATGACTATTGTGAATTAATATTTGAGAAACTCAACAGTAAGGAAACTCAACAGTAAGGTGCAGCATTCACAAGCAATCCAGGTGAATTGAATGGGGGGTGGGGGTGATGATTTTGTATGCCAAGTAAATAACCAAGAAGAACAGCTACAGTGAAATCAGTTGGATAATATAATTTGAGGTAGCCCACTGTAAGCAAAGTACCCAGACTAAAGAAATTATGAAAAGGTTGACATTTATAATGATGAAGTAGTTCCCTCTGAACAAGTATCCTGGAAACTGTTCCCCCTCATAAAGATCCATCCTTTATAATAATAATATTTATATTTATACCATAAAAAAGTGAGGTAAGATTCAAATGATTGAATTTGAGGGGGGGGGGAGGACTCCCATATAAAAGTGACGGGGGTGCTCGCCGGAAATTTTGAAAAGAACCCCAAAAAGTAACAAAATCTCGTTTTGTGGGTGTGGCTCGAATTCATTTTCACCCCTAAGAGGTCCCAA